ACTCTGACACTAGACACTCGACACTCGATACTCGACACTCGACACTCGACACTTGACACTCGACACTCGACACTCGACACTCGACACTCGACACTCGACACTCGACACTCGACACTCAGACACTCAGACACTAGACACTCAGACACTCGACACTAGACACTCAGACACTCAGACACTCAGACACTCAGACACTCAGACACTCAGACACTAGACACTCAGACACTAGACACTCAGACACTAGACACTCAGACACTAGACACTAGACACTAGACACTAGACACTAGACACTAGACACTAGACACTAGACACTAGACACTCGACACTAGACACTCGAAACTCGACACTCGACACTCGACACTCGACACTCGACACTAAACACTAGACACTAGACACTAGACACTAGACACTCAGACACTCGACACTCAGACACTAGACACTCGACACTCGACACTCAGATACTAAACACTAGACACTAGACACTCAGACACTGGACACTCGGATACAAGACACTCAGACACTAGACTCTCAGACACTTAACAGTCAGACACCTTTTTGGCCTCAGTTCCGTCGAACCCAAATGTACGAAACAGATATATCATCAGTTTTAATTGACTTTGGCACAGACGGCATGCACGTTATTTACCCTAAAGCCATACAGTTTCCAGCAAAATTCAATTATGGTACGGCTGAAAAAAGGATGTTGCCCTTAGTTTTGTCATGAGCATTCACCGTCCATAAAATGCAGGGCAGCACCGTCGACCATGCAGTAGTATATTTGGGCTCAAAATGGTTTGAGGAAGGACAAGCATACGTGGCTCTAAGTCGAGTCAAGTCTCTGGAAGGGCTGTGTATTGAGGAATTAGATTGTACTAAATTATCAGGTAAGAAACCATGTAATAATGATGCACTGAATGAATTAAATAGAATGAGGAATATTCGGTAAACAATTTCACTAAATACTAAAAACAAGAAAATAAAAATCGGTAAAAAAACTTTTAAGTTAAACGGTTTTATTTTATGTGCACTGAAAACTACAAAATAAATAAATAGTTACTTACCTATCAACCTACGTAGGTGATCTCGGTCATTAATATCTCTGATGGTAGTGGTTGTCATAACATGAACCATGTCAGCGGCCGAAAGGCAGTTCATGAGAGAACACTAACACCAGGGTTTGCTTGGTAGGTAAACTAAACAGCCCGCGCTATAACAAGTAGGTATTTTGACCTTCTAGTTCAGAAATATTTTAGTACTAGGCAGAATAGCTTTTAGGCATATTAGACTAAAATAAAAACGTGGGGCCCATTAACTATTTCTGTATTACTTTCTACTATACTAAGTGTGGATTGCATCGACTTATTATAATCGTCATCATCATCATCCTAGCGGTTTATCCTGGTCGCATCCGAAACCTCATAGCTCCGGAGTCCAGGGTCCGCTGAATCGACTTACTATAATCGTAACTGGAGGTTTTGACCATCAATAACCAGCCGTTACGGCTTCACCAGCGAACGCCGAGCTCATGATCTACCAAAGTATAAGATATGCTCTGCTATAGGTATGATTTCAGAGGGGCCCCACGTTTTTATTTTAGTCTAATATGCCTAAAAGCTATTCTGCCTAGTACTAAAATATTTCTGAACTAGAAGGTCAAAATACCTACTTGTTATAGTGCGGGCTGCTTAGTTTACCTACCAAGCAAACCCTGGTGTTAGTGTTCTCTCATGAACTGCCTTTCGGCCGCTGACATGGTTCATGTTATGACAACCACTACCATCAGAGATATTAATGACCGAGATCACCTACGTAGGTTGATAGGTAAGTAACTATTTATTTATTTTGTAGTTTTCAGTGCACATAAAATAAAACCGTTTAACTTAAAAGTTTTTTTACCGATTTTTATTTTCTTGTTTTTAGTATTTAGTGAAATTGTTTACCGAATATTCCTCATTCTATTTAATTCATTCAGTGCATCATTATTACATGGTTTCTTACCTGATAATTTAGTACAATCTAATTCCTCAATACACAGCCCTTCCAGAGACTTGACTCGACTTAGAGCCACGTATGCTTGTCCTTCCTCAAACCATTTTGAGCCCAAATATACTACTGCATGGTCGACGGTGCTGCCCTGCATTTTATGGACGGTGAATGCTCATGACAAAACTAAGGGCAACATCCTTTTTTCAGCCGTACCATAATTGAATTTTGCTGGAAACTGTATGGCTTTAGGGTAAATAACGTGCATGCCGTCTGTGCCAAAGTCAATTAAAACTGATGATATATCTGTTTCGTACATTTGGGTTCGACGGAACTGAGGCCAAAAAGGTGTCTGACTGTTAAGTGTCTGAGAGTCTAGTGTCTGAGTGTCTTGTATCCGAGTGTCCAGTGTCTGAGTGTCTAGTGTCTAGTGTTTAGTATCTGAGTGTCGAGTGTCGAGTGTCGAGTGTCTGAGTGTCGAGTGTCGAGTGTCTGAGTGTCTAGTGTCTAGTGTCTAGTGTTTAGTGTCGAGTGTCGAGTGTCGAGTTTCGAGTGTCTAGTGTCGAGTGTCTAGTGTCTAGTGTCTAGTGTCTAGTGTCTAGTGTCTAGTGTCTAGTGTCTGAGTGTCTAGTGTCTGAGTGTCTAGTGTCTGAGTGTCTAGTGTCTGAGTGTCTGAGTGTCGAGTGTCGAGTGTCGAGTGTCGAGTGTCGAGTGTCGAGTGTCGAGTGTCGAGTGTCAAGTGTCGAGTGTCGAGTGTCGAGTATCGAGTGTCGAGTGTCTAGTGTCAGAGTGTCTAGTGTCTGGGTGTCTGAGTGTCAAGTGTCTGAGTGTCAAGTGTCTGAGAGTCTAGTGTCTGAGTGTCTAGTGTCTGGGTGTCTGAGTGTCTAGTGTCGAGTGTCGAGTGTCGAGTGTCGAGTGTCGAGTGTCGAGTGTCGAGTTTCGAGTGTCTAGTGTCTGAGTGTCTAGTGTCTGGGTGTCTGAGTGTCAAGTGTCTGAGAGTCTAGTGTCTGAGTGTCGAGTGTCTGAGTGTCTAGTGTCTAGTGTCTAGTGTTTAGTGTCTGAGTGTCGAGTGTCAAGTGTCGAGTGTCGGGTGTCGAGTGTCGAGTGTCGAGTGTCGAGTGTCGAGTGTCGAGTGTCGAGTGTCGAGTGTCGAGTGTCGAGTGTCGAGTGTCGAGTGACGTCGAGTGTCGAGTGTCTGAGTGTCTAGTGTCTGGTGTTTAGTGTCTGAGTGTCGAGTGTCGAGTGTCAGAGTGTCTAGTGTCTGGGTGTCTGAGTGTCAAGTGTCTGAGAGTCTAGTGTCTGAGTGTCTTGTATCCGAGTGTCCAGTGTCTGAGTGTCTAGTGTCTGGATGTCTGAGTGTCTAGTGTCTAGTGTTTAGTATCTGAGTGTCGAGTGTCGAGTGTCGAGTGTCTAGTGTCTGAGTGTCGAGTGTCTGAGTGTCTAGTGTCTAGTGTTTAGTGTCTGAGTGTCGAGTGTCGAGTGTCTAGTGACGAGTGTCTAGTGTCTAGTGTCTGAGTGTCGAGTGTCTGAGTGTCTTGTGTCTGGTGTTTAGTGTCTGAGTGTCGAGTGTCAAGTGTCGAGTGTCGAGTTTCGAGTGTCTAGTGTCTGAGTGTCTAGTGTCTGAGTGTCTAGTGTCTGGGTGTCTGAGTGTCAAGTGTCTGAGAGTCTAGTGTCTGAGTGTCGAGTGTCGAGTGTCGAGTGTCTAGTGTCTGAGTGTCGAGTGTCTGAGTGTCTAGTGTCTAGTGTTTAGTGTCTGAGTGTCGAGTGTCAAGTGTCGAGTGTCGGGTGTCGAGTGTCGAGTGTCGAGTGTCAAGTGTCGAGTGTCGAGTGACGTCGAGTGTCGAGTGTCTGAGTGTCTAGTGTCTGGTGTTTAGTGTCTGAGTGTCGAGTGTCGAGTGTCAGAGTGTCTAGTGTCTGGGTGTTTGAGTGTCAAGTGTCTGAGAGTCTAGTGTCTGAGAGTCTTGTATCCGAGTGTCCAGTGTCTGAGTGTCTAGTGTCTGGATGTCTGAGTGTCTAGTGTCTAGTGTTTAGTATCTGAGTGTCGAGTGTCGAGTGTCGAGTGTCTAGTGTCTGAGTGTCGAGTGTCTGAGTGTCTAGTGTCTAGTGTTTAGTGTCTGAGTGTCGAGTGTCGAGTGTCTAGTGACGAGTGTCTAGTGTCTAGTGTCTGAGTGTCGAGTGTCTGAGTGTCTTGTGTCTGGTGTTTAGTGTCTGAGTGTCGAGTGTCGAGTGTCGAGTGTCTAGTGTCTGAGTGTCTAGTGTCCGAGTGTCTAGTGTCTGAGTGTCTTGTATCCGAGTGTCTAGTGTCTGTGTGTCTAGGGTCTGAGTGTCTGAGTGTCTAGTGGCTGAGGGTCTAGCGTCTGAGTGTCTAGTGTCCGAGTGTCTAGTGTCTGGGTGTCTCAGTGTAGTCCTATTATTTGATACCCATATTGTGGTGGTTGTGGAAAAATATGTACCTAGTCCGCCATATTGGAACGGCGTCCATCTTGAATTTTAAATTTTGACATAATCATCGTGTTTTACTAGTGTAGCCCTTTTATTTGATACCCATATTGCGGGGGTTAAGGAAAAATATGTAATCCGCCATTTTGTATCGGCGGCCATCTTAGATTTTTAATGTTATTGATTTTATTATATTGTATTGTCATCTAAATTAAATGTGTGTACCAAATTTCAGATCAATCTGATAACGGGAAGGTGCTTAAATTCCAATTTCTAATTTTGACCCAAATAAATAAATACCGTACAGGTCAAGCTAAATAAAACCGTTTAAAAATAGATTTTAGAAATTTTGCCTATATGTGTCTTTGTTCCGGCTTAATGTTAAAACTACTGCACCAAATTGGATAAGGTTTACACAGTTGTATACCTGAAGGTTTAACTTAAAATCTGGTGTATGTTTTAACGCGAAATATCATCTAGAAGTGAACATTGAATTTTCTATTTTTGAAATCCACACGTGTGAAGTAATACGATTAATAAAAAAATAAAATAAAAAAGTAAATTAATGAAAAAAAAGATCCTTTTGTTTCATTTATATATTAGTTTATTATTTTATTTTAATATTACATCTGGAATCAACAGCTTATATCTAGAATAATTTAAAATATTATATTTACACCACACATTAGCTAATAACAGATTCCCAATTTGTATACCAGACAATATTATGCTTATTTTTGGAGGGTAGGTTAAATTAAATAGAATATATATATATGTACTCTTATTTCGATAACACACTAAAACTAAAGGCCTACCATGAAATATTTTCCGAAATTTCGGGGACGAACGAAATAGATATTTGATGTTAAAATTACATAATACATCGTTCCTCTGGACTTAGGATTAGGATAGGATTTATGATAAATGAAATGTTAAGCTCCATTTACTGGGTCGATTTAGGTACAAACAAAAACACGAAATTGAGCCCGAAAATTCGGAATTTCATTTCATGGTAGACCCCCTGTTCACTACATGTATCTATCAATTAAATAACATTATCACTTATTTAAGACTAGAATTCTATCACCTGTAAACAAATATTTTTGGTAACATAAACATTTTTGAATTTAAAACTTTTTTTAAGTAGGCAAACAATTTATTAGCTTCTCCAAATTATCCATACTCTAACGTAGACATTATTTTGGCATTATTATAATTAATAGAAGAAACAAGAATCATATTAATATTGTTTCTGTTGTCAGTTATTATATAAATAAATAAATAGTCAATCTAAATCACTAAAAAAATCGAATTAACATCTGCAATGCATTTGTCTTAATTAACAGCTAACACCATACCATAAAATGTTTTATTTATAACCAATATATAAATATGCAAATAAATAAGTTGATAAATGTTAGTAAATCATCATTTAGAGATGAACGGACTCACAGGGCTCAGAGAACATTACGATGACGACACCCACACCTAAAAAATAAATAAAATTTAAAGTTTTTTACACTTTTTTTTTAAGTTAATTTCCTTCACCAATGCTATAATTAAAAAGTTTGTAAAAAATATTTTCATCTAATATACGAGTACCAGGTCACTCAGAAAGTATTGCGAGAAAAACTTATTATGTATGTGATACTGGCCAGTTATAATTTATTTAAAAATATGATTACTTATAAGTAAAAATAGGTACGTTCTAAATTCAAAACTTCCCTCCAAATTTTTTGCGAGCTAATTAAAATTACAGTGTCTCATTGAAAAATGAATTTGCGTCGAGAACATTTTCGCGCTATGATTTTTTACGCCTTTAGAATTTTTTTTTAGTGTTGCAAAACTTTCTGAGTGTCGCGCGTATGTATCCATGTTCGAGCAATAATCGATTTGAAATTCAATTTGAAATATATCGACGCAGTATGAAATGTAACGCCTGTTTAAGTTTAAATAGCAAACGTTTTATTTTGGAATTAAATAAATTGTAACAAACAATGTTTGTACAATTTGAAAAAAAAAATATATATGAGGGGTCTTAATAAAAACAATAGAAACAACAATACAATATTTTTTTTAAATTTTGTCTATCTGTCTGTATGTTTGGACAGCTGTAGTTTTCACAGATCTATTGGAGACGGTGTAACTTAAGAATTGGTATATGCCTTTATCTTGTTACGCTGTCTAGTTCTATATATCTCAGAAAATACATCATAAGATCTCAAAACTGGAAACTTTGAGCTTTAAAATCCTTTTTTCAAAATTCCAATACGACCATTTTTAAAGGAAATACAGCTACTTGAAAAACCTCAAAAAAGTTGGCATTTTTTTTGATCCCTTAATTTTTTCCTCTAGTGTAAATGAAAGTTGTAATACCAACAATACATATAAAACCGTCTAATTTTAAATTAAGCAGAGCTTGTAATATGGGTACTAGACAAGTGATTATCAACATCAGCCTTCGCAAGTTTTGCCAGTAGTTGCCACGCTTGGCAGGCGAGATGGCAATCGTAGTTAGGCTTTGGTTATATTCTAAGAGGGACGCTCGTTGCTCATTTTACTACCATTAAGTTCCCTTAGTCGCCTCTTACGACACCCACTGGAAAGGAAAGAGTGGCCTATTCTATGCCGGGACCATACGGCTGGATTAGTGACAGAAATACTAAAATACTTTTTTGAAAATACACACCTATAATGTTTTACTTCTACTTTACGTCTACGTTATTGTTGATAGGGTGCATGAAACCATAATTTTTCCTTCGATATTTAGTATACGTGTCGTTCCAGAGCGCGAGTGAGCGGTGGTCCCAGATGGGCCCGGTGCTGAGCTGGGTGTCGATGATGAGCGCCGTGGGGTCGGAGCCCCGGCTGGGCGTCCACCGCACTGGCAGCAGCGGTGATCGCTCCGGCGTTGGGTCGCTGTAGGCGGGAAAATGTAAAGTGTAATTAATTAACCAATTATACTTGTATCATTTATTTTTCCGGATAGATAGATAGATAGATAGATACTCTTTATTGTTTCCTCCAAAAGATTACAATAGTAAACTTATTATAAATATAAACAATTACAAGAAGTAATCACAATGAGAAAACAATGGGCGACCTTATCGCTAAAAGCGATCTCTTCCAGGCAACCTTTGGATGCAATTTGTTAGTACCCAGAATTTTTTTATGTAACTTAGAATGGCAACAAGATGACGGCCCATGCTCGCTGTGGACAGTAGTGACTGCTGTCTATAGACGATCAGTACCATCACCATTACATAATACACGGTGTGTGACTCCTATGGCATTCTTTATGGCATAATCAACAGGAATGGCAACTCTCAAAGTTTATGTACATATATGTAGTCCTATGTTCGCATATGGGGTCAGCTAAGTTGTTGCACTTCGACCCATCGGGATCTTTTGTGCTTCTAGTCCTGTGTTACATTTCCATATTAATTATATTACAAGTAATTTCAGTCCTCGAATAATAAAGATTATTATTTTAACATGTTTAAACATGAAACTAAAGTTTATTAAAATAAAATTTGTTTTTATTTTATTCTACTTTCAAAAGACAACCAATTTATATTTCTTCTATTTCGGTCAGTTTATCACAATTCAAGCTGTTGGTCGCATATTGTTTTGTGATGATTAAAGTTGTCGTTTTTCTTAGTGGAGTGACATGCCTATTATTATTTGCATAATTTAATGTTACCGCATATGTTTCTTTAAAAAAAATGTTCAGTTTCGCTCATTTAAATATTTTGATTTATCTTACGAACACTTACCTAACGAACACTCAGGTTATTGAATGAGCTCCCTGCCGAGGTTTTCCCAAGAGACTACAGCATGGGGTTCTTCAAGATGGGGATAAAGAGGTTTCTTCAGGGTCGGCAACGCGCGCGTAATACCTCTGGTATTGCAGGCGTTCATAGGCTACGGTAACCGCTTACCATCAGGTGGGCCGTATGCTTGTTTGCCACCTCAATGGTATAAAAAAACAAAAAAACTTTTTTTTAAACTAGAAGTGTCATAAACAAGTTTCTTGAGACCTTCGTGAGTTACAGTAAAATATAGAAAAACTGGAAACGATTTCTTTTTATTGAAAGTAAATCCAGTATTGTGAAATTCAGTGAAGGTGAAATTAAACGAAAGTTAACAGAGTATCAGAAGGTTGCAGTGCAGTCTTGCAATGTAATATGGTAGTTAAAAATATATGTATAATTGTGGTAAAAATTTATATTTCCTTCTACAGCAGTTTCCCTTTAAAATGCCATGCAATAGATGTAAGGTAATTTCAAAGAGTTTCAAGGCAAGCTTTGTAGTTCTAACGGTTCGATTATGTAATTCAGTTATGAACAATTATCATTCCATAGATTCAGCTGTGAAACATGGACTCTGCTTTTTATACCAGGGTATGGTTATAAGTTGGGGGGAGGCATTGAGAGGCAATGCCTTACCTTAAAATGAAAAGCCCCAAGAAAATTAGACAGATTCGCTTTTTTGAAATCACTTAATTATGGCTTTTGCCTTACCAAAAAGTTCTTTTGGCCCTATTTTAAACTTGGGTCTAGCTACGGCCTTGTACCAGGGGTTTGCTAAACAACGACTATTTGAAGAGTCATTTCATTAAATGTAAATTTAGAACAAATACGACGCACCAATAAGTTATCGCCGCTGTTTCGTAGATATTAGAGTAGTACATATTATATTTAAAATATTTGTTTTTTTAAAAGCGAAATCGTGTCTTCAAGTGAATTTTGCTTCGCAACAGACACGATTTTGCTCCGGTTACTTTCAATTAAGTAGTCAGGGGTCAGTGGGTCGAGAGCGAGTCTTGATTACCGTATAGTGTAAATGTAATATGTGGCAAGGTTAAAATAATTATTATTACAAAAAAGAAGTAGCATAATAATTACCTGTACTTGGCGAAGTTGGTCCACATGGTCACCATACGTTTAATCATGTCGTTCTCCAAATATCTATGGGGGAGAGGAAAGGAGTGTGGTTTGAATAGATAGAAGATTTCGTCAGCATGCGACGCTCCAGGTTTGTCAGCGTAATTTGAGATGACTTTTGCCATATTTATATAGCCACTATATTTAAATACATAGTAGTAAATAGGTTGATCAGTCGTCTTCTCTATCTGCTGCGAGAATATAGCAGAAGGAAACTTGAAGTGCACATCAGAGTATAGATCCACCATGTTCATTACATAATCATCTTTCTCAGATGAAAAATAATGCCGTATAATCTTATTTGTGGTTTCATTTTTCTCAAACTCATTTGGAAATTCCAGGTCTGATTGTAGTGGCTGATGTATTATTGTGGGATCTACTTTCTTCACGTGTCTTCCGTAATCTGCAGATACAAAGTAAATGCCTTCATTATCATTAATACCTATAATCATAGGCACCTTGGTGTAATTATCAGAACTGACTATATCCATGGGATATTTTGTTATAATCGGTTCCACACCAGGGATTTCTTTCTCTACACATGGCACAAATAACGTCTCAGCAGTTATAAAGTTCTTATGTTCGGAGTATTTTATGGCATTTATCAGTTCACTAACTGTTTTATTAGACAAAATACTATATATCTCGTGTGGATCTTTGGTATCGTATCCGAATTCTTTGACTAGAGTGCTGGCTGTTTTTATGGGATCATGTTGTAACCCCCACGGTACTATAGGTGAGCCACTTTGCAAAATAGCTTTATGAAAAAGACCTCTTGCAGTTGGTGATAAAAGAAGAAATGCAACAGAAGTTGCGCCTGCGCTTTCACCGAACAAAGTCACTTGATTTGGATCTCCTCCAAACGATTTTATGTTCTCTTGTATCCATTTTAAAGCGGCTACTTGATCCTTTAGTCCAGCGTTGCCTGGTGCTTCTTTAATGCCAAGGCATAGGAAGCCTTCAACACTAAGTCTGTAGCTGATCCCTACATACACTACGTCTTGTTTAACTAAGAAATCTGGTCCGTAAAGGTAAGGAGAGCCTGTTCCGTGCAGGAAACATCCACCATGGATATAAGCCATAACAGGGAGTAGTTGGTCGGGATTGGTGTTAGCTGGTGTGAATACATTCAGCCTCAAACAATCGGCGTCGCCTATAGTGACACTTCCAATGACTTTTTGTGGGCACCATGAGTTTATGTCGGCCGCCTCGAATATCCCTTCCCATTTCGGTGGAGGCAGTGGAGCCTGGAATAATAATATCATATATGTTAGTTTAGATGTGTGTTTGCCACGATATATAAATTGTTTTGTTCATTATTTTTACAATTTATAAGGCTCTTTTGCATTCGTTCTATATTATTTTTGTGGTGATTATTATGCGTTATAAATTTTCATCGAATAATATCAACAAAACATCTCGCTTATAGATGGTGTGGTTTATTCGTTTTTACGATTATTAACTAATAGTTGTTTTGTTTGTTCTTGACAGTATTATTGACAATGTTTGAACAACTAGGTAGCGTGAGTCAAAAATCTTTTACCGATGGTGTCGAATGAATCAACCACAATTCAGTGGGAATGACAGAAAATTTAAGTTAATTCTCTCTAAGGGCATGTCAAAACACAGGAAAACCTTAACAGCGAATTTTGCATTGTTAACAACGCCATCTAGTATCTCTTTTCAAACTTTTCAAATTTTCGATATGAAAATACATTTCTTAAACAATGTTGCTGTAGTTTTCAATAGTATTGTTTAGTTTATTTAAGTATTGTTTAATTTTGTGTTTTTTTATTTGTATTACATTTGTGCAAACTATAGTGGCTTTTAAAATTACTATTTAAGTACCTAATTATGTATTGTTCTAGCTGTCAGTTCGGCTTAAATAAATAAATAAATAGCAATTGTGTCACAATTAAGGGGATTTTTTTGTAGAGCAAAATGTATTTATAATATCAGGGAATATAATACTATATTTTTTTCTTTAAGGAAAGAAAGCAGAATGCGCAGTACAAGGGAAGGTTAAGCCGCCATTTGGGCACGATAGTAATAATGGACTAATATTCTATTATTATGGAATCATGGGTCGAAATATTGCCCAGTAGTGGGACGTTACCGGGCTAAAAAAATAATAAAAATCTTTTTTTCAAGTAAATTTAATTAGGTATAAGCATTTTTTAATTGTAATTTTTTATAAATCTATTATTCAATTCAGAATGCAATTTCAGTTGAGAAGAATAGGCAAGAAACTAGGCTGTTGCTTTATTAAATAAAAGTTGAGTTAACAAAAAAAAGTGTCTGGATAAAATGACTATCTGTAGTGTTTTGCTCTTTTGAGGGCAAAACAATAAACTGAGTTGTGACCATTTTGTGTTACTATGGCACACGCATTATGGAAGAAAACTGTTACTTGTTATATATATTTAGTTTTTTTTTTGTATATGCATTCTTTTATCTCTTTTCACTGTATATGTTTTTTGTTATTTGTGTGCTGTAATGCAAATAAATTATCTATCTATCTCAAACTTTATATTGATAAAAAATTCCGGCCAGTCCCTACTAGAAGCATCCGTTCATAAGTACGACAGAAGTTGAATAAGAAGCCATCGTTGTGTTCAAGCATTGTTATGGTTATTACGTCCTACGTACGAGCGCGGGTGTAGCGGAGGCGCGTGCGCAAGCAGTTACATCGTCGGCCACGCCAAGGCGAACCAGTGCCAGTGTCATAATATTTTGACACTGACATTGTTTACCTGGACCGTGACATTGTTAAGTATGTGAGCGATATTAATCTATTATTAACAACTAGCGATTCCACCAGGTTTCGCTCGAGTGGATAGATATTTAGGAAATATAGGAAGTGACTAATTTAAAGGGAGTTTTCTATTTCTATTGAAGACAAGGAAAATGTTGTTTTTATATTTCGCTTTTTGTTCTTTTTTTGTCGCTTTTTTTGTTTTTTTCATTCTTTTATCTGTTTTACTGTGTATGTCTATATATATGTTTGTATTGTAATTTGTATGCTGTAAGTAATGCAAATAAATTATCTATTTGATTTTAATGGAGTGAAACCCCCCCCCCCCCACTCAACAAAAAGGGAGTTTTATGTACAATAATGGACAGTTAATGTCTGTTACGATGCTGATGAATATTGAATAAAAATTCAATTGAAAATAAAGGTACGTTAGTATTCTGCCATCATAACATATGTACATTGAAAGATAGAAAGTTTTTTTTATACAACTTAGAATGGCAAACAAGCTGACGGTCCACCTGATGGAAAGTGGTAACCGTCGCCTATAGACATGAGCAGTACCATGGACATAACAGAGTATACTGTTTCGCCCATGATACCCCCATGCGTTGCCATTCCTGAGGACTCAGGTGTTATTCCTCTGTACCCAGTAAATTCACGCCATATCACACCCTTCAAACCGAGACACAGTCATGCTGTGTTTAGCTGCTTCACGGTTGAAACACGAATCGGACAGAAGTACCTAAGCAATCGACTTTTATACAAAGTCTCCCTTTAATTTACAAATCAAGTAAAATAAGTAAAGTTTGGGACTATAAAGTTTGGGAGCTTGGTGATCTGTAAGACGGGTCATCCTAGTACCGACACCGGTCGGTAGATTGTTTTAAATTGTAACCTATATAGCTTTAAGTTATATATATATATATATATATATATATATATATATATATATATATATATATATATATATATACACATGTAAAAAAAAATGTCACAGCTATTAGCCAATAATATAAAAACAAAGCAGTATTAAGTAAAAAGTTTTGTATGTCGCATCAGGTAAATTGAGCTGCCGTTACGTATTCACTAGTAACTACTCTTTAACAAGATCAGGTCGACCTCCTCGCGGTTCCCCCTGGAAATCATCGTGATTGATACATTGGTGAAATTGTCACGATGGGCTAACTGACCTGCTTCATCCCCACTCATCATCCCTAACTGGTGCCCGCCAGTGTATACTGATAGCGCGGGCGGGGTTACCGTTCCATTACCGTTCATTAAAAAAAACTCTAAGAAAAACCATGTGAAGTTCAATTGGCAGGGCGTATTTTAAATGGAGCATCTAACCTGAAACCGGTTGGTGTGGTCGACGGTGGCGTAGGGTATGCCAAGGTACTGGTGGAGCGCGCCGTCGTCGCTGAGCGTGCCGCGGACCAGCCCGCTGCGCGTGCGCACTACCGGCGACCGCTGCTCTATAAAGTTCGCCGCGATTAGCGACACCAGCGCCACCCATTTCCACATCATTCGCTGCTATGTATGCGCTCACTTCATATCTTCCAACATTTGCAATTGATTTTGGTTTATATCTAGTAAATGAAATTTGAATTATGTGGTTATGTTTGTACGTCGTACATCAAAATCTTACAGTAGATAAACGTGTATGCTACACGTAACGTTTTACCAGTCAGGGACTTTGTACAAAAATCGTTTGCTTAGGTACCTCAGTCCCATTCTTGCTTCTATCGTGAAGCAGTTGTTTTCATGGCCGTGTTTCCGTTTGATGGGTGGGATATGGTAGTGAATTTACAGGGTACAGAGGTATAACATCTTAGTCCTCAAGAATGGCAACATATGGTGGGTATCATGGGCGAAACAGTATACTCTGTTATGTCCATACTATTGCTCATGTCTATAGGCGACGGTTACCGCTTTCCATCACGTGGGTCGTCAGCTTGTTTGCTATTCTAAGTTTTCAGTAAGATGCCTTGGTATAGATTTATATTACCTGGAATATACATATAAACTGCTGCCCTAAATTGCATTTGCTTGGTATAAGCTAAAATGGAGGTGCTTATTTTGTCTGATTCATCAGTGTTGTCAGTCCCCCTCATCTTTTTTTATGGGATGATAATAGAATGGTAACCCCGCCTGCGCTAACGGTATACACTGACGGGGCATCAATGTGGGATGATAGGTGAGAATGAAAAGGCAGGTCAGTTAGCCCATCGCGATGAATACACTTGGAATTCAGCACGATGATTTCTTGGGGGGACCATGTGGTGGTCGAATTGATTGAGTATATTGCATGTATCTCTTGTCGCTTGTAGGACGGAGACGGACTTGTTACGTCTTTCTTTCTTTATTAAGCGCTAATGTGTGCTAGACTCAATCGCTTGAATTCACTGAAATTATAGTATATTGCAAAATATTAGTTTTACAACACTTTGTCTGAAGCAGTTGTGGAGCGGACGCACTTCCTCTGATAAGCGGACAATTTCACAAACATAATATTGTTAACTTCCACTGATTTTCGCAGTCAACGAGACCGCTTTCGCTTCAGACTACGGAATTCCCAGGGCCTGCGGAAACTGTTTTTTTAGTTTAGGTCGGTCCTGAAGTTCTAATTATTTAAATTTATTTAGAATGGTAAACAAACTTATCGACCGCTTGATGGAAAATGTTAATCGTTGTCTGTAGATATGGATTGAAGGATAGACAATCCAAAATATGATACACTGTAGTGCTCTCGGAAAAAATGTCTATGGTCAACTTTTTCCAGAGAATATAACAACCAGATAAGAACAAGAGATAATACCAACGTGACCAGGGTATTTTTTTATACCACTGAGGTGGCAAACAAGCATACGGCCCACCTGATGGTAAGTGGTTACCGTAGCCTATGAACACCTGCAATACCAGAGGTATTACGCGTGCGTTGCCGACCTTGAAGAAACCTCTTTACCCCCCTTTTGAAGAACCCCATGCTGTAGTCTCATGGGAAAATCTCGGCAGGGAGCTTATTCCATAACCTGAGTGTTCGTTGGAGGAAACATCTCTGAAATTGCGCAGTATGCGACCATTCAGGCTGTAGGACATGAGGATGAACTCCCTGTCGATGGCGAGCCGTATGTACATTGACCGGGATAAAATTAACTTATATCCCTTTCCGTTCTATATAATTTACTCAGTATACTCTGTTTTGTCCATGGTACTGCTCATGTCTATAGACGACGGTTAGCACTTTCCATCAGGTGGGCCGTATGCTTTTTTGCCATTCTAAGTAGTATAAAAAAAACGTGTATACCAAATTTCATAGTGATTGGTCAAACTGTAAAGGTGACTTGACTTTGTTTTGGCATGATACCATAGTCCAGGAATGGCAATGCATTAAAACTGACATGTCCTTTTTTATTAATGATAATTAAATGGTAACTCCGCCTGCGTTTACGGTATACGCTGGCGAGGGATACCAGTGGGGGATGACAGGCGAGGATGTAAAGACAGATCAGTTAGCCCATCGTGATGAATACACCTGGAATTCAGCACGATGGTTACCAGGGGGGACAACGTGGAAGTCGACCTGTCAGGGTATATTGCTAGCAATGGGACTGGTAGTGCGCATTACTAACAATCTAATCCCCTTGACATATTTTATTAGGATTATATATATATATATATATATATATATATATATATATATATATATATATATATATATATATATATATGTACTTCGTATCTATTAGAACACGATATTATAAGTGGAGCAAAGATGTAAAGTTATGATAGGTATGCTATGCGTGTATGTATTTGTGACTATCATTTCATTATCGTTTAAAGGTCAGGTTATTTTCTTTGCTATGTATATAGATAATTCTACATAGATAGGGTTGGCAACTTTATTCAATGAATTATTATAAAAAATATGTCACCTTATTACACTTATCTGGTCCTAAAGCTGTTAAAATTATTCGAAACTAAACAATCGAAGTCATAACATGTAATCAGTAGGTAGGCTTTTGGAATAATACAATTGGCATAGAATTAAAATCGAATAATCGAGTAGATATCGAATTGTATATGATGATGTAAATTTTACAGCGTGCAGGTAAACTTAGCTGACTGTTCAAACTCTATCAGGATCTAAAAAAAACCTCTAAAATTCACCGCATTAGATTGTCTCGTTTATTATTAAGGTAAAATCATGAAATGATTTATTGATAACCCTTTTCAAATCTTTATTAAACAACCTTTTCAGAAAAATATTACAGCACGTTGGTTTAATAAAATTTTTTTTTGTATGTGGCGATGCTTTGGAAATGAGAGAAAAGTAAACTTGCATACGGCAATCGACAAGAAGATAAATGTAGTGAGATTCTTTTTTTTTTAAATATTATAAAATATAAAAATAAAACTCAAGTTAGTTATAATATATAAAAGACAAAATCTCATTTATTAGATTAAATAATAATAAAAAAAAAACTCGAAATCATGATCAGCAAATGTTTTACGATTTTTCACAGTGCGTCAGTTTGTTTACCATTCTAAGTTGTATGAAAAATATGTCGACTTATCATTTTTCCTCACACAGGCACCTATTAGAATTAATTGTAAATAAAAAATTTCCGTGATAAATATGTGAAACCTGTATCAAATGACGAGTACTTTGTGTGGTTTAGACGACGTCCACGCGCAGCGATTTCGTTTTATATTATTTAAAAATTAAAAGGTATAAAAAGTGTCAGTCTAAAAGAAATATGAATGGACCTTTGTTATTGACGTAGATGTATTAAGTGCACTATATATGTAATCATAAATAAAAAGCTAAAGCCTTTATATATATAAATATAAAGCCTTTCATTCACTCATTTTGCTTTATATTGTTTTTGTTTTGTAATTATAAATTATGCTAAAAGATGTCTTATCAAAATTTATAACTTTGTAAATATTATTATTATATATATATATATATATTCTTATTTCATACATAAAAACCGATCGATTGTGTAATTAGGCAAATGTAAAAACTATTCATGGCTCTTCATAGATATAATTTGACTATGTATTGATTGTCATTCTACTGTATGTTTTCCTAAAAATAAATAAATAAATCTCTCAGAGCAGACGACCGAATGTAAGTGCATTAATTCAGAATGAAATGATCGTTTATAAATATAAATAAATAAAAATAAATTTCTGAATGTATGCAAACGCATTATATCAGAACTGATGGACTTAAGCGGCTAATTCTCTTTTTGTTGTCATTATAGTTGAAAGGATTATGGTTTGTATGAAAGTCAATGTTAGAAATATCGTAGAAAAAGAGAATAATTTGGTTTAAAAATATTTGAAATAATTAAAGATTGAGTTCCACAAAAAATTCACTTCACTTGTAACAAAATCAGTTATTTTAGTCTATAAATTAAACTACTGTACCGATTTTGATAAAATTTCTCTAAGATCAATTTGTAAGTATATATTTTCATATAAAAAAATCCCATATCTATTTAGTTTAGTAATTAACGATTTAATTTTTTTTTGTGTATTTAAAATATATAAAGTACAGTTTAATAATGATAGAATTATAAGCTAACACATATTAAAAAAAAAAATCTAAATTCTCAATTTATAATTTAATACATTCTTCTTCTTTTTGAAGTCAATTGAAAAAAAAAAGGTTTTATCTTATTTTCTTTAGTAGTAGTACTCGTATTATACACGGGCGAAGTCGGCGCGGACAGTCGGTAGAATAATAAAGAGAATATATAGCTCGATTGGCAACCCTAAACAGCCACGTAGGTAATCGAACATTTGCGTAACATTTGACGGAGTTAATTATGATTGTTATTGTATTGAAATTTATGGAAATTGGACACTGGCGTCGGCTGCAGTACTTGCTAATGTTATTGATAATAAATTAGAATAAACTCTATCGAACAAAGAAATAATTGTTCAAATCGGATTCTGTATATACGGTACAATAACCATAAGAATAAGAATTTACCAGAGGGAGACTTTGTACAAAAGTCGATTGCTTGGCTACCTCTGTTTCATTCGTCTTTCTACCGTGAAGCAGTTGTGTTTGCATGGCTGTGGATTTCAGTTTGAAGGGTGAGATATGGCGTGAATTTACAGGGTACAGAGGAATAACACCCGAGTCCTCAGGAACGGCAACGCATGGGGGGTATCATATACAAAACAGTACTCTGTTATGTCCATGGTACTGCTCATGACTATAGGCGATGGTTACCACTTTCCATCAGGTGGGCAGTCAGCTTGTTTGCCATTCTAAGTTGTATAAAAAAATTACTATCCATATGATAAGAGTGGTCCCGGCATAGAATGGGCCACCCAATCCTTTCTCGTGGGTGTCGTAAGATACGACTAAAGAGGCCGAGGGATAGCAGCGTCCTTAAAATATCTCTAAAGCCTGTGGTTGCCAATCCGCCTACCAGGCAGAACCCCCCAAGGGGGAGGCTTATGTTCAGCAGTGGACAGTTAAAGGCCAATATGATGATGATGATGATAAGAGACAAAAACTATTATTTTAATATTAATTGTAAATATGATTTAAATTTTTCAATCGATTCTTCGTTATAAACGATTAAAAAGTGACGTATTTTAAAATATTTTCAATTAAGCGTAATAGTTAATTAAATTATAACTAATTGGGAATAGAGGAACCGGAATTGATATCAGCAACTACTTTGTTATGACCTTTGATTACTTTGTCGGTCGCTTAATTATGTCATAATAAACTATTAGTGCTAGATATACACATATATATACATAAACTAGCTGACTCGGCAAACGTTGTTTTACCATATACATTATTTCTAGAACTATACATGAAAATTTATCGTACTACAATTATTACATTCGATTGCCATCTTGCAACCTTATTGCGGCATATAAAAATCGCGCTTAAAAAACAGGGATTGATCGTAGAAGGGTGAAAATTTAAAGTTGTATGTATTTTTCAATGCTAAATCATATTTATATAAAATTAAAAATTTTTGTCAAAAAAATAAAAAAAAATTTTTAGGGGTGGGTCACTCTTATCATTGAGGAGTATAAAAAATAGATGTTGGCTGATTCTCAGACCTATCGAATATGCATACAAAATTTCATGAAAATCGGTAAAGCCGTTTTGTAGGAGTTTGGTAACAAACACCGTGACACGAGAAATTTATATATATAATATATATATAAATTTAAAGTGTGATTACTTTTTTAAAAGATGTACATTTTTTTTAAATATAACATAAAAGACATAATAAAAAAAAAAAGTATTCAAGGACTATCCTTGATCTATGTCGTATTCTTAGATTGTATAGATAGAGTGTCCCCATACAAATGTCTCGAGAAAAGTGGGTCAACTTTTTTATACAATTTTGCTTGATAAATAATTATGAGTGTTTTGTTTATAACTTTTATATTTATTTTGTTTTGTTTTGCATTTTTTTTTAATGCATACAAACTTTTATAATTAAATATAGATACGTCAAGATGCATCAATGTGCGTAAGTATATAAAAACGAGTCAGCTAATTTGACAATTAGCTGACAAGAAAGTTGGTCCGTTTTTGAGATTTAATGCTTTATATACATAATATAAGGTCGTATTCTTCATAGAAAAATGATAGCATTCTCATTTTTCCACGAAGCCTAAATATAAATATTCTATTAATATTACAAATGCGAAAGTTTATAAGAATAGACTCGGGTAGTTTATATCCTAACTTAGCGTATAGGAGTTAAGGAGTTTGCCCTAATTTTTATTTATATATATATATATATATATATATATATATATATATATATATATATATATATATATATATATATATAATAGGGACTAATTAACCATCTCATTACAAATGATCCCTTTCCCCCAACAGTTTAGGTTAGATTAGACGACTGAAACTCGAGTGTAATAGAAATATATATATACAACTTAGAATGGCAAACAAGCTGACCTGATGGAAAGTGGTAACCGTCGCCTATAGACATGAGCAGTACCATGGATATAACAGAGTATACTGTTTCGCCCATGATACCCCCCATGCGTTGCCATTCCTGAGGACTCAGGTGTTATTCCTCTGTACCCTGTAAATTCACGCCATATCCCACCCTTCAAACCGAAACACAGCCATGCAAACACAGCTGCTTCAAAGTTGAAACACGAATGGGACAGAGGTACCCAAGCAATCGACTTTTGTACAAAGTCTCCCTCTGGTGATATTTTATTATATGGTTATACAATTGTCACTTTTATTTAAATATGTTTTTAAATGAATTCGTATCTATGTTGTAAGTTGTAGGGCTTTGTTCGCCATCCTTATAGCGAATAACAAATTGAATGATAATTTGCAGTCAAAAGTCATACAAAAAATAATAAAGCCTCTTGTAATTTCTGTAAAACTGAACAGGCTGAAGCTTTGCTGGATTTGTATTTATTTTTATTTATTCATTAGTACATATATGTGTACATGGCGGACTTAATGCTAAAAGCATTCACTCCCAGTCAACCATAGGGAAGTGTCAGAATATTCGAATCCGGTACTTATGTATGTTGTTAGTAATGGGGTATAATTGACCCATTGCTATCAGGTCGTTCACCACGCAGTTCCCCCTGGAAACTGTCGTAGTTTATTCTAGTGGAATTCGTCACGATGGGCTAATGGGCTAACTGACCTGCCTTTTCATTCTCACTTGTCATCCCTCACTGGTGCCCCGCCACCGTATTCCGATAGCGCAGGCGGGGTTACCATTCCATTATCGCCCATTAAAAAAAAACCTCACATGGATATAGTAGAAATAGAAGCCACGAGTAATAATAATAAAATAATAACAATTTGAACATTACAGAATTCTATCACTATATTTTCAAAATTATATTTTCAAAAAACCTAATAAACACTTCACACTACTTAAATATAAAGGTTTTACCTATTTTAATTGTTTATAAAAAAGAGTCATAGATAATCACCACTTTTTAATTCATAAAAAAAGAAAACTTCTCGCGCGTATTTTTATAAACGTAAACTGTTTAATATATATACGTAAAACGTTATTCGTACGTCTGTGCATTGAAACAACTGACAGCTAGTTGGTACTATCAGTGTTTCCTTTCACAATACTCCAAGGTCCGGCGCGTTTGCTATTGGCATATCTCTCCAATATGTATTTGAAGATTAACCGATTTGTAGGGTAGGTATCTGGTAGTCATACATAATCTATGGCACTAATGGCCTACGCAATTTGTCCTTTTAACCATTATAGAGTTTCGAATAAGCAATTAGCACTTTTTGAAGTCTCGATTTAAAATTCCGAGAATTTATTAAATTATAAACCTTTGTGTTTGTTACCTTGGCGTGTGCGAGTTGAAGGCGAAAGATGGCATTGAATTTATCATTGAATACATATTATTAAGAATTATTATGAAGGTCGGAATAGAAGTTAGGAAATAGAGTGTCACATTGGCAAAAGTTATGTTAGTCAGCTCATCACAAACATTACATTGTTATCTAATGATCGATTTATTAATTAATCGATAGTGTTTACACAGAATATGCCGAGTGTGGATATATCGATTGTATCGATTAATATGAATAATAAACGTGTATGCAATTTAATCGAATAATGGATTAAATTACGTAAAATTTTGGTTCAAAATAATTATATTATCCTACTAGCTGATGCTTTGTATGCGTTGTGTTGTTTCCCTAATGAAGTGAAATTTTCTAAAATATTTTTTTTAGAAAATGCTTACGTATAAATAATTAAGTAATAATAATACATGTAAAAATGTCGTATGCCAAACTGGCCGACTGTAAGGCGACTCAAATTACCACATTCATCCCAATAAATTTATAGTACATACATATATATATATATATATATATATATATATATATATATATATATATATATATATATATATATATATATATATATATATATATATATATATATATATATATATATATATATATATATATATATATATGTACTTTCTATACTTGATAGTTACGGCTATGTTTTGATGTTAGGCCAAACGATTTTATAAGTACTTGTAGATAATCAGTAGTGTTGTCCTAGCATTCGCCATTACACTACCGATTATATCAATAACATCGATTGATAGATATTGAAACGGCCAATTTTAATCGAATAATTGTTAAAAAAAAATTATATGTATAGTATAGTATTATAACTTAATCGATTATTTAATTATTTGTAGCCTTAATTAAATTCTCGATTAATAATCGATTAAGGTTTTAATTAAATGTTTGTATCAATCTGATTTGAATTAATCTCTTATGGACTCCCGCGATACAGGTTCGCCTAGTACGGGGTCCAATGTACGCACATAGTAAAGTTCTTGTATTTAACACTTGTATTTAATAAATAAATAAAATAAATAAATGCCTCACGTGATACAACATCATAAGTTTACGTTCATCATCATTAGTTTAAGTTCTTGATATAATCGATTTATTTATTATTCATGGACGATTTTAATGGTAAATCATATTGCCTCATGCTCTGATGGTTGCAGGTTCGATTCCGGTAAAATACGAATGTTAGTATTGATCTGGGTGTTTTCTATGTACAAATTACGTCTATAGGTTGTCTAGAGACTGTATCACATTGTATAAGCTCTGTTGAGTCTAAGATCAGATGGCATTATATGTTGCATCCAGTGGTATAAAAAAATGCAGAGGTATACAATTTGCTAATAGAAATTATCATTACATAGGTATATACTCCGTGGCGACCGCGTACGGGTAAACGCAGTGTAGGACGACCCCCCACTAGATGGAGTGACGATCTGAAATGCATTGCATGGAGTAAGTGGATGCAGGTGGCTCAGGACCGTTCTTTATGGCAGTCTATGGGAGAGGCTTAAGTCCAGCAGTGGATGGATATGGCTGAAATGATGATGATGATGATGAGGCATATACTTTCGTCGCCGTGTGGTCCCGGCATAGAATGGACCGCCCCTTCCTTTCCTGTGGGTGTCCTTTTCTGTCCTGTGGGCGAGGCCTATATTCAGCAATGGACACTTAAAGACTGGTATGGTATCGTATGGTATAAATAAATAAGATATAGCCATAATGAATATTAAGTTGAGGCTTGGTTTTTACAGTATCACCATTGTATTTGTACAAGCTTGTTATGAGGCCGATAGGTGATTCCCGACCTGCACTGCAAGCTGCACTTTTAAACAAATTGCACGGATACCGCTGCACTCTAGTGCATTGTATATAAATTTCTTTAGCAGATGTAAACAACCAATGTATAATCAATTCATCGACTAAATAAATGGAAGTAAAATTTTATAATCTTTCACAATTTTTTTCTATATTTCGTGTAAGTAGCGTTCCAAAACAGCATTTTCACATCTTCCCAAAGGGGTATGGTCGTGAAATACTTGTCTATGACTAAAGAGTACGGGTCGTTTCTATCTGAGGCCTGCCATTTTACTTTCAATGATGGGGTTGACTCTGGTGTGGGGTTGCTGGAAATGAAATGATATTATTAATTTTTAATAATTCTATAATTCATTATAATAATTAAGCACATTATAACATGTATTCCTATATCATTATTTTATGTTTGCGCCTACAGATCAGTTAAAGCAAACGTAAATCCAGATTCACAACTAGTTACAATTTTTGCAGGAGTTTTTGTTGTGTCCAAGTCTTTAAAATCATTTATAAACTTTTACTGTACTTTTTAATCAATGCCACGTAAAGAAATTATTCATACTATTAAAATGATCAATAGTTATAATGCTACATTCATCATCATCATCATCATCATCATCATCTCGGCCATTATCTGTCCACTGCTAAATATAGGCCTCCCCCATAGATTGCCATAAGAAACGGTTCTGAATCATCTGCATCCACTGACTCTCTGCAATGCATTTGAGGTCGGCACTACATCTAGGGGCGGGGGGAGGTCGTTCTACACTGCGTTTGCTTGTTTGCCTGTACGGGGTCGCCACATAAGAACCTTTCTTCCCCATCGGTTGTCGGTTCTTCGAATTATGTGACCAGCCCATTGCCACTTCAGCTACATTACGCAATATAAATGTGTGTTCGCATATACAATATTTGTTTTCACTTACCTGAATTTAGCGAAGTTAGTCCACATTTTACTCATCGTGTTAATCATATCTTTTTCATAAAAAGCAGTTATAAGAGGAATTCTAAGTTTAAACATATAGAACAGTTCATCAGCATGAGTTGCTCCAACTTCACCGCGGAATCCGTACAAAAATTTGACTATATTCATCCATCCATCATAATTGAATTTATAAGAGTAAACAGGCTGATCAGAGGTCTTCAAAAGAAGCTCAGTTGTTGCTATAACTGGATATGTAATGTGTGCATCACCTTCAAAGAAAGAAACCTTCACGATTGTCTTTTTGCTAACTTCCTCATTGCCCATATAGAGATTTTTTAACTTCATCGCTGTTCGCCGTTTCTCCTTTTCTGTAGGGAATGACAAATCTACTGGCGTGGCTTGGACGAAATCCAAATTTGCGATTGTTGTATCATTTTCTCTGGCAGCAAACATGTATCCTTCAGCGCTGTTGTAACCGATAATAATCGGAACCTTATTGTATTGACCATTTACCATTGTCTTATATGGCGCTTCCGCCAAGAATTGTTCTGTATTAGGTATAATTTTCTCAATGCACGGTGTAAAAATATTCTCTGACAGTAGAATATCACCTTTTCGCCTAGGTACTCGAGCCTGAAGCAGCTGTTTCGCTGATTTGGTCATGAGTAAATTGTAAATTTCATAGGGATCTGTAGTGTTAGAGCCAAATTGATAAGCTAGTTGACTTGCAACTTTCAAAGGTTCCATCTGCAAAGCCCATGGTGATGTTGATGAACCGCTTTGCATGATTGCTCTATGGAATAGGCCTTTGGATATCGGTGAGATAATATGATACGAAACTGATGCAGCACCGGCGCTTTCACCAAAAATGGTGATGCTGTCGGGATCACCACCAAACGCTTTTATGTTTTGTTTTATCCACTTTAGTGCAGCCACCTGATCTTTGAGACCGACGTTGCCTGGTGCCTCCTTAATTCCTAGACACAGAAAACCCAAGTTTTCGAGTCTATAATTAAAAGTAACAAGGATAACTTCATGTTTGATTAAATAATCTGGTCCATAAATGAATGGTGAACTTGAACCGTCTCTAAAACCTCCCCCGTGAATGAATACCATAACAGGGTACAAATTTGGAGAGGTTTTTAAGGGTGTGTAGATATTCAGAGTTAAACAGTCTTCTTGGCCTGATATTAAGTTTCCTGTAAATCTTTGCACGCATCTTATATTCTCGTTGACGGCTTCGAGGATTCCCTCCCATTTAGGTTCTGGACCAGGTTCCTGGAAAATAAGTTGTGATTGATTATTAAAATAATAATTGAATTCTTAAGATTCTCTACTTAACTGTTATTTTTAAGGAATTCTAAAATTCTCAGTGTTCCTGTATTTTTTAGATGTAGGTTATGTTATGCGATATCTTAGTTAGTTAGACTTCAGTGGTCTAAAATGAATTATTACAAATAAAACATAATTATCTAAATCGGTTTACAATTCACTGAGTATAAAGTAAAAAAAAAAAACTATTTAAAAAACTTTTTTTTGAAGTCATTCGAAAATAAACAAGTGAACGAACCTGGAATCTTTGTACAACGGTTGCATATGGTATGGCGAAGTACTCAGCGTATGTTCCCGAATTGGATATCGACCCTCGTAGCAGTCCTCCGGCGACGCGTACTGGAACTGTCGGCTGCCTGACCACCCGCGCCGCCCACAGCGACCACAGCACCAGCCATTTGATGCCATCCATTATTCTCAATGCTGATCAGGGTGAGTTTGGTGAAGATGAGTATACTCAGATGACGGTTGTCGCAGGCGCTCCATTTACTATGGATCCGATACTGAAACTATAAAATTATATACAAATATAGTTATTATATTGTATTTTTTTAAATGTATGATAATGGTATGGTAACTTCGCCTGCGCTAACGGTATACACTGGCGGAGCACCAGTGAGGGATGATAGGTGAGAATGAAAGAGCAAGTCAGCACATTGTGATGATCACACCAAGAAATCAGTACGATAGTTTCCAGGGGGGACCACGTGAATTGACCTAATAGGGTATGGTACTGGTTGTTACCCTTGCCACCTGCTATTTATTGTGTTTGTATCACTAACAAAATACAGGCCATGGTCTGAAATAAAATTTTATTATAATTTGTATCTTATATCATCATTACAGCTATAACTGACCACTGCTGGACATAAGCCTTGCCCATAAGGAGAGTTTTGCCAGTAGTTGCCACGCTTGACAGGTGGGTTGGCAATCAGAGTTAGGCTTTTAGAGATATTTTAAGAAGGCCGCTGCTGCCCATTCCTCGCTCTCCCTTAGCCACCTCTTACAACACCGACGGGAAAGGAAGGGATGGGCTAGCCTACGCTGGGACCGCACGACCTTTATTTTTATATAAAAAAAAATGTATCTATCTATCTATACGACTAGCTAATTCCCGCAGGTTTGGCCGTTTGAACTAGTACACAAAGTACCCTCACAAATTTTGTTCAAAAGCGTTCAGCCGTGTCATCGCGCTGATGAAAAAACAAAAATAGTAATAAAATGATTTTCTTTATATTATTTACGTGAAATATACTTGTCCGGGGGAATGGAATTATTGGTAATGAGATATAACTTCTCTATTGCCATCAGTATACTCTATTAGTTCAAACTTCACGTGATTCCAACGCGGTTAGTTATTCTAGAATTCGCCAACTGATCTGCTTCATCCCTATTCATCCGCCAGTGTATATAGCAAAAGAGAGGATACAATTCTATTTTCAACCATTAAAATTATACTTAATCGATCATATATATATATATATATATATATATATATATATATATATATATATATATATATATATATATATATATATATATATATATATATATATATATATCGTTAATTATTCACTGCTGAACATAGGCCTCCCCTTGGGTTTTGCCAGTAGATGCCACGTTTAGCAAGCGAGGTAACATCAGTTAGGCATTGCTAATGTTTTAAGAGTTAATTAATCAACATAATTTTTCAGTTTCATTGTTATAATAACCCATAAACATAACAATACTGGTTATATAAATAAGTCTCCATATAATAAACAAATATAACAAACAAAAACATATTTATTCTTACTTGTCTCTTGAAGAAAACTCATTAATATTAATCCTGTTGTGCGTGCACACACGAATAGACACAGACATTACAAACGCAACGTAACGGTCTCTGTATTTCTAACCGAATCGAAGAAATCGATTTAAAACGATTATGAGTATAATTTGGAACATCACTAGCGTTTTACTTGTGTCTTTAACGATGTCCAGTTATAAATAAAAAAAAAATGTAATATTTAAATAAAAAAAAATTACCTTAGATTAAGTAATATAATTATTAGAATGGGGGTCGAGTTTGCTTTGATGAACACGGAATTAAAAAAAATAATTCGAACATAAGATTAGGCAGTATAGCATTGTGTTGTTGCCTTACTTATTTCGGATAAATCATTAAGTGCCTACTCATTATGGCAATACAAAATGTTAATCAATTCTTTTGTTGATAAATCGTGAGTTTATATTTCTTTTGTCTTTTTTTTCACTTCGATGAAACGTTTTAATTATATTTAAATGTATGTAAACAATTTTTAATACGAATCTTACCTAGTTTTATGGTATATAATGCGTAATATAGGTAATCCCGGCACGTTTTACTTTCACACACGTTTCTCCTTTACAAGCCGGCTCGTGTGACTGACTGGTTTGAAATTTTCCTCAGCTCATCAGACGGTGTTGAATTACTAAAACGGTTGCACAGTTCCTGCTTATTTAACTGTGGTAATACCTATTTGCATGAAGGGGAAAAGAGATAGAAATATATATCATTGCTAGCAATATACATTTTTTTAATGGATGATAATGGAATGGTAACCCCGTCTGCGCTAACGGTATACGCTGGCGGAGCACCAGTGAATGAAGATGGGTAAGAATGTAAAGGCAGGTCAGTTACCCTATCGTGATGAATACATCTGGAATTCAGCAATATGGTTTTCAGGAGAAACCACGTGGAGGTCGACCTGACAGGGTATATTGCTAGCAATGAGACTGGTATTCCGCATTACTAAAAATTCCTTCCCTCCACAGGCTTTGGAGATGTATTAAGAGGGACACTGCTGCCCATCCCTCGCCCTTAGTCGCCTCTTGCAACATCCACGGGAAAGGAAGGGGTGACCCATTGTATACCGCGGCACACACGGAGATTCCATGTAATACGTGGACAAACAAACTTATTTTCAGATCTATGTAAACAAAAATCAATTGGCGAATGTATATAAGTGCATTACTTTAAAACGACAGCACCTATTTGGTTAATTTTTTTTTTCTTGTGAAAATGTTTGAAAAATGTACGGAAAGAAAAACGTCTAAAGGATCTCCATAAAAAAAAAAAGAGTGAGAAGGAAGATTTAATCTCATTTGATTAGTACACCCGTGCGAAATCGCGGCGGGCGGTTGGTTTTTTATATTAGTTAAGAAGTAAGCACTTAGAATACAAAACAAGCTAATATAAAATAAGTAAATAGTAACTTAATCTATAGAACACGAATAGCACTATAATATTACACAATACACTGTGACACCCGACTATGCTCCTCCACTGTGGCGAGCACTTTGTAATTGAATACTTTTTGTTTGACCCGCGCATCGAACCTTAGGCCTATCTGCGGCCCTCAAGCCTCAAGTGGCGTCCATTCGAGCAAATACAAGTTTCAGCATACAATCTCATGCGGTCTGTTGGACACTACCAATATAGCAAGTTTTCTGTCCAGACCCTTATCGTCCCGGATCATATCCGGACTGTGACCGTTACGGAAAGTTCACCACGTATCCACCTCAACTTCGAGACATCTTCGAGTGCATTCCACTAATTAGGATCTAGAAGGGCCGGCCGGAGGGACCCGAGTGGCATTCCATCTCGACTCGACTCATCCGGTACGATGGATATACGAAATCGCCTTGTTCTTATTATTTGTAGTTCTCTTTAAATATGTATTCGTGTGTTCGGGTCAAGAAGCCGACCTATGTTATTCTTGTCTATGTAATCAGGTTTCTTATGACTAAATGTTACTTTTACTGAAATTTTGTTTGTACAACATATACATATGAGATTAAAAAAATAAAATGTTTATTTTTATCGATATTTTTTTTTGCATTTTATAAAAAAATGTATGTGTAGGCTACCGACCTATTTTAAACCTAAGTAGTTTTAGAGAAATAACTTGTGACGTACTTGATAATATTGTCTCTAGCAATTAGGTTTACGAAGAATATATTTGTATCAGGTCAACCTCCACGTGGCTCCCCCTGGAAACCATCGCAAACAATTCTTGTTGAATTCGTCACGATGGGCTAACTGACCTACTTTATCCTCACCTATCATCCTTCACTGGTGCCCTGCCGGTGTATACCGATAGCGCGGGTGGGGTTACCATTACATTATCACCCATAAAAAAAAGATATTTGTATCGTGACTTTTTATATCGTTGGATTTATTTATTGTAAATATTATTCATTATACCATCTCGTATTAAATCTTTCTATTTGTACAAAAGTCGATTGCTTGGGTACTTCTGTCCCATTTTTTTTATGGGTGAAAATGGTATGGTAGCCCCGCCTGCGCTAACGGGATACGCTGGCGGAGCACCAGTGAAGGGTGATAGATGACAATGAAAACAGGCCAGTTAGTCCATCATGATGAATTCATCAGGAATTAACCATGATAGTTTCCAGGGGGAACCGCGAGGAGGTCGACCTGGTTGGGTATATTGCTAGCAATGGGATTCTCAGTCTCCATTTCTAACAATCCCTTTCCCCCCACCTCTGTCCCATTCATGTTTCAACCGTGAAGCAGTTGTGTTTGCATGGCTGTGTTTCGGTTTGAAGGGTAGGATATGGCGTGAATTTACTGGGTACAGAGTATTAACATCTGAGTCCTCAGGAATGGCAATGCATAGGAGGTATCATGAGCGAAACAGTATACTCTGTTATGTCCATGGTACTGCTCATGTCTATAGGCGACGGTTACCGCTTTCCATCAGATGGGCTGTTAGCTTGTTTGTCATTTTAAGTTGCATAAAAAAATAAGGTATAAAAATGATTTATTCCTATCACAGATTAAAGAGTATTTTTTTCTATGTCTCTGTATATAGGCCAAATAAAACAATACACATTTGCAGAACTGCGGTGTAAATTCTAACCGGATGAATTGCCCCAAAGTCGGTAGAATCCGGTTTAATTACCTGTCACCTGATGTTTTATAAGTACTAGTAAAAAAGGATTGTTACTTTAGTTCGGAATAAAACAATGCGCTAAGAAGACGTGCCATTTCATTTTAAAAACAGACGAAGCAAATATAAATCTGAACCTTAAACGCTAGGTACTAGAGTTACAAACAACTCAACTGTCATAAACATCGTAACAAAACCCCCTGTTTTGCGCGGAGGGCATCAGCATTATCATATCAGCTTATTACTGTCCACTGCTGAACATAAGCCTCCCCTTTGGGTGTTTTTGCTAGTAGTTGCCACGATTGGTAGGCGGATTGGCAACCGCTGTTAGTCTGGTGATATTTTAAGACGGACGCTGCTGCTCATCCGTCGATTATTAAATTCCCTTAGTTATCGTTTCTGACATACACGGGAAAGGAAGAGTTGGCCTATTCTATGCCGGGACCACATGGTTAGAATCTAAAATAGGAGGTTCGAATTCCCTGTCGTTTTTCTACTCACTTTTTTTGGAATATAGAAAATTTGGGGAGAAAGGGATTGTTAGTAATGGAGACTGAGAATCCCATTGCTAACAATATACTGCGTAGAGATGTTGCATCTCTGTGCATCTTCTACCGAATTTATCATGGGGAGTGCTCTGAAGAATTGTTCGGATTGATACCCGTTGCTAATTTTCACCATCGTACAACCCGCCATAAACTAAAATTTCATCCCAACCATCTGGACGAGTGGCGGTCCTCCACCGTGCGTTTTTCAAGACACTTTCTCCCACGCACAACCACTCTTTGGAATTAACTTCCAGCGGCAGTACTTCTGAACCGATACGACAACATAACCTTCAAGAAAAGAGCATATTTCTTTTTAAAAGGCCGGCAGCACACCTGCAATGCCGTAGGTGTTGTGGGTGATCATGGGCGGCGGTAGTCACTTACCATCAGTTGAGCCGCATGCTCGTTTGCCCCCTGTGTTGTAAAAAAAAATACCCAACCAGGTCTACCTCCTTGCGGTTCTCCCTGGAAACTATCATGGTCAATTCCTGATGAATTTATTATGATAGGCTAATTGGCCTGTTTTCATTCTCATCGATCACCCTTCACTGGTACTCCGCCAGCGTATCCCGTTAGCGCAGGCGGGGTTACCATTTTCATCCAACAAAAAAAAATATATATAAAAAATTTGTATTATATATTGTACACATATCTTTTTTATTGTCTTTGTTCATACAACGGTAAGCTGAGAATAGCGACTCACGTGATACGCATAAAATTCATGAAGATTTTCTGTGTAGGTTCGAAATATGAAAAATTGTATGTAACGTTAATAAATAGGATGAAAAATAAGGCGTTTATTTATAGCATCCTTTGCATTTGTACAAATATTTTTTACTAACTTTGATAGAAAATAGTCATTCTTTTCTCCATTCTATGGAGATTTTTTTTTTTATACAACTTAGAATGGCAAACAAGCTGACGGCCCACCTGATGGAAAGTGGTAACCGTCGCCTACAGACATGAGCAGTACCATGGACATAACAGAGTGTACTGTTTCGCCCATGATACATCCTATGGGTTGCCATTCCTAAGGACTCAGATGTTATTCCTCTGTATCCAGTAAATTCACGCCATATCCCACCCTTCAAACCGGAACACAGCCATGCAAACACAGCTGCTTCACGGTTGAAACACGAATGGGATACAGGTACCCAAGCAATCGACTTTTGTACAAAGTGTCCCTCTGGTAAATTAGAATTAGAAGTCTTACAAAATATAATCGTAAAATATTGATATTGAAAATCCTGTGAACACCTTATTTTTTGTAATATCAAGTATCAGGATTTTCGGGAATAACAATTATTAGTTTTACTAGTTGACTATAGATATACTAATAGATGGCGTTGTACGTACTATGATAAACATCATAATACCTACAACGCCATCTATTAAAAATATTACGAACTAGCGAACCCTTACAATATTTCTTATTTTAAATTTTTCATCTGAATTTTATATATTTATATATTAAATATATTTTATATATACTTACTTTTTATATATTTTGCTTTTTTTCTGTATACGCATTCTTTTATCTCTTTTAACTGTGTATGTCTGTTGTTATTCGTGTGCTGTAAAGAATGCAAATAAATTATCTATCTATATGTGAGAGAAAAGACTGTATGCTGGTATGGAAACACGGTGTTTTTAGAAAGATAATTTAATTATAAAAAATATCCAAAGCTAACCAAGGGAGCAAAAAGCGAACGAAACAAAAACTAAACTGACATTAACTTCGAATCACAAACAAAAACCTCTTTTTAATAAAATTAAAAAAGGGGGAAAGGGATTGTTAGTAATGGAGACTGATAATCCCATTGCTAGCAATATACCCAACCAGGTCGACCTCCTCGCGGTTCCCCCTGGAAACTATCATGGTTAATTCCTGATGAATTCATCATGATGGGCTAACTGGCCTGTTTTCATTCTCATCTATCACCCTTCACTGGTGCTCCACCAGCGTATACCGTTAGCGCAGGCGGGGTTACCATACCATTTTCACCCATCAAAAAAAAAAGGTGCGTCGTGCACACTATCTTTCTTTAGAGTTTGCCCATTTTTTTTTACTTTATACTATATCTTTGTATTATAGCGAATAAAAAAAAAAAATTCAAGTCGGCCAACGAACTGTAATTGATTTCTGTTAATATATATTTCGTAAAATTTCCAATTACAAAGTACGCAGTAGGCAAGAATAATGTTTACGTTACATGCACGAGGCGAGGGAGCTGTAAAACGTTCGTTATGTGTTACCCCAGTGCTACCCCATCCTGCCCCATAGCCTACGGTTCCTTCACATTTCTAATTCCTTTAATTACGCTTGCATAGTATATTTAATAACGATAACCTTGGGGGGAAAGGGATTATTAGTAATAGAGACTGAGAATCCCATTGCTAGCAATATACCCAACCTGGTCGACCACCTCGCGGTTCTCCCTGGAAACTATCATGGTTAATTTCTGATGAATTCATCATGATGGGCTTACTGGCCTGTTTTCATTCTCATCTATCACCCTTCACTGGTGCTCCGCCAGCGTATCCCGTTAGCGCAGGCGGGGTTGCCATACGATTTTCACCCATCAAAAAAAATAATAATAACCTGGGACTGCGTCATGGGTATTCTTCTCTAGAAATCTATCCGATTCTACGGGTATGCGACGCCGGCCTCCCGAGCCGCTGCAGTGTCCCAGTCCTTTCCGCAACTGCAGTGTCCCCCCCTTTTCTTTCCCACATAAGTCCTTTATTCCTTTTATTTACTGATTTTCCTTTTCAACGTTCTCTTCTTTTTTTCCTCAATCCTTTCCTCCAAACCGTCGGTGGCGGAGACCACCAACAAATGCATTTCCAAAGAGGGTTGATGTCAGGCAGGCGGACAGTCGTAAAATTATAAGCCAAATCCTTTAGTAATATGAATAAAACCATATTACGCCGACCCCAAATAATAATTGAGATAAGGGTAGGAAGATGATGAAGAACGTGAGACTATGTGGTTCCGCCATAGAATAGGCCACCCCTTCTTTTCCGGGGGGTAAGGGATTGTTAGTAATGGGGTCAAATAGTCCCATTACTAGTAATATACCCTGACAGGTCGACCTCCACGTGTTTCTCTCTGGAAACCATCGTGGCTAATTCTAGTTGAATTCGTCAGGATAGGCTAACTGACCTGTTTTCATCCTCATTAGCCAGCTATCACTGGTGCCACGCCAGTGTATACCGATAGCGCAGGCGGGGTTACCATACCATTATCACCCTTTAAAAAAAATCCTTCTTTTCCCCTAGGTGTCATAAGAGGCGCCTAATAGAGGTCGAGGGACGAGCAGCAGCGTCCTTTTTAAAACATCTCTAAAGTCTAACTA